TTAGACGTGGAACACAAACGCGTCACCGGGGGACCCGATCCAAAGGAGGGTCGGCGAAACCTGCGGCCGCTGGGAGCGTGGCCACAAGTAAAGCTGGTGAGTAGCGTAGCGAACAGCGAACGGCCACAGAAAATGGGGGGCATCAGCATGAATCATGGAGGTACGGGCGACCTCCATGACCAAGCCGATGCAGTGCTCAGCAACCCCATTCTGCTGTGGCGAGTCCGGCAAGGTGTACGACTGGGTGATGCCCTCCGCACGACAGAACTGTCCAAGCCGACCAGAGGCGAACTCGCCGCCACGGTCAGAGTGGAGACACAACACGGGGAGACCGCGGTGAAGACGCGCAGCCACAACCCACAGGAGAAGAACGACGGGCACGTCGGCCTTCCGCTCCAGGGGAAACACCGTGGTGTAGCGCGTGTCGTCGTCAACGAGCACAAGAAAGTAGCGCTCACCGCGCGGTCTGGGGACGGGGGCTGGGCCCCAAACGTCCAGGTGCAGGGTCTGAAGGGGAGCAGTAGCAGGGCGAAGCGAGGAGGAGTGAGGGGAACGGCGGAGCTGGCCCTCGATGCAAGGCGTGCACGGTGGCGCAGTCGAGGAAGGAAGGGCAGGGGGCGACGTAGGGAGACCTAATACAAGACCGTACTGGGACATGTGACGCAGACGTGGGAGTGCAGGGTGACCTAGGCGGTGGTGCCAGAGAAGGGACGGCTGAGTGAGGGACCGATACGAGGAAGCTGCAGCGACCTGGGAGGACGCACCAACCGGGGGGGAAGCGGTGACTAGGGTGAACAGACCGGACACCGGGTCCCGGGGGAACGTCGCAAGAAGGGAACCTGAGACAGACTCACGACAGACAGTGTACCGCTCGTGCCCGGGGAACGTGGTGGTGACGCCGAGGTCCTGAAGACAGCCGACACCAACCAGGTTCCTCGAGAACGAGGGAATGTGGAGAGCTGTAAGGGAGCCCGAGGGAACTGCTGGACAGGGAAGGGACGTAGAACTGCGAGCGACGATAGGACCCGCAGAGGGGTCAGCGAGAGAGACAACAGCAGGTGTTGCAAGCGGCGTGAGCGCGGAACGGTCGCAGAAGAAGCAGGTAGAGGCACCGGAGTCGAGGGTGAAGGGCAGCGGAGCAGCGGCGGAGGCCGGGAACGGAGCCGGTGCAGAGACTAGGCTAGGCAAACGAGGCAGTCCTACGCCTGACGCAGCAGGGGAGGCTAAGCTACACAATGGGGCAACACCTAAACTAGAGTACACAGGGTAATAAGATCCAGCAACACTAGAAGCGTCAGAATACAAGGCATGCAATGCAGCACCTATCTGATCCATGTCTAACTCAAAGATCGGCACGCCTTGGCGGAGCAGGCTGTGCCAATCGGGGAGGTCCGGGGCCGGGCCAAAGCGACGACGAAAGAGATCGTCGAGGCGGCGGAAAAAGCGGGCGGTCGGGTGCGGGCGGCGGCACAGAGTGCCGCAAAGAGGCCCGGTCTGAAGCTCGTACTGGGAAGTGAGAGCACCTGAGCCGCCGGTAGACACCGAGCTGCGCGAGCCGCCACCACGGCCACTACCTCCGGAGGTGCCGGGCCAACCAGGAGGGAGACGGGACCACAGCTGCGGCGGCTGCTGCAGGGACGGCGGCTGCTGCTGGGGCTGCTCCTGCTGCGGCTGGGGCTGCTGCTCCTGCCCACCGGTGGTAGTCCCCTCAGGCAGACTACCGTCACCACCACCACCACCACCACCACCTACACCACCACCCCTACCTCCCTGATGACCACGGCCGCCGCGGCGCGAGCACTGCTGCGGGTGGACCGCAGCAGCCGTCTCGGTGAGAGTTGTCGCCATGGCGACTGCAGTCGAGACGTCAGTGAACGTGCACTGGGATGGGGCACAGCCGTGAAAGATAGAGACTGCCGGCGCACCGCTCGACTGAGCGATAGTGCGCTGGCGAGTCTCGATCTCGGTGAGGGTATCGACAAAGGCGGTGAAGGTGAGGTCACCCGGGTGCTGGCTAAGGAAGTGATCGCGAGCACTAGCGAGGCGGTCTGGAAGGCACATGGCGATAAAATAGAGCGTCGTGCAGAAAGGGGGGGGGAGCGCAGTGAGCTGGGCAGCAGTGTTGGCAGTGCGATAGCGGGTCTCTAGGGCACGTAGGTGAGTGGCAAAGTCTGCGACGGTAGGGAAGGCTGCAAGGTCTGGGAACAGCATCGGGAAGAGCAGGCAGCCAGCAGAAGCAGATACGGGTGTGGAATAGCGAGCAATAACGGCGTCTAAGTAAGCTTTGGCCGTCTCAACAGTGGCAAAACGCGAGCGCTCAGACACAGGGAGGGCGTGGCTAATAGCAACTTGAGCGACTACATCGCGGGAGTCCCAGAACGCACAGGCAAGTGCAGCAGTAGAGAAGGTCTCACGGTCATCAGAGGAGGGGTCAGCAGGGCGGGGAGCAGGTGCGGGGGGGCGGGGGAGCAAGCCATCGACATGGACAACCAAAGAGTGGCCATCCTCGCGCTGACCTGTAAGGTGGCGGCGGAGATCGGAGAGCCAGGCGGCGAAGTCAACCGCATGGCCCTCGGCGTCCAGTCGGAGCACGAAGTCAGCCATCGTGCAGGGTCAGCGGTACAGCTCCACAGCTCCGCAGGAACACAGCGGCACGGGGAGACGGCGGCGGCACTCTCCAACACGACGGCCACGAGGCGCCCCAGCGCTGGCGAGCAGAGTAGATGGAGCCCGAGGTGGCACGGCAGGCCGAGCAGGCACGAAGAGGGGCCGGGCGAGCAGTGGGAGAGGCCAGGCAGACGTGGCGGGGCCAGGCAGGCGCGGCACGGCCAGGCAGGCGCGGCGGGGCCAGGCAGGCGCGGCGGGGCCAGGGAGGCGCGGCGGGACCAGGCAGGCGCGGCGGGGCTAGGCAGGCGCGACGGAGCCAGGCAGGCGCGACGGGGCCAGGGAGGCGCGGCGGGGCCAGGCAGGCGCGACGGTGCCAGGGAGGCGCGGCGGGGCTAGGCAGGAGCGGCGGGGCCAGGCAGGCGCGGCGGGGCCACGCAGGCACGGCGGGGGCCTGGCAGGCGCGGCGGGGGCCTGGCAGGCGCCGCGGGGCCAGGGAGGCACGACGGGGCCAGGCAGGCGCGACGGGGCCAGGCAAGCCGCGACGAGGCCAAGCGGGCGCGGCGGGGCCAGGCAGGGCGCGACGGGGCCCAGGAGGGGCGCGACGGGGCTAGGAGGCACGGCAGGGCCCGGGAGGGGCGCGACAAGGCTAGGAGGCGCGACGCGGCCCAGGGGGAAGCGGCGGGACCTAGCTAGGGTACGGGCGGAAGCGGTAGGTGGGGGATTCTAACCTACGCGTGATACCATGTTAAAGTAAGAACTGAATAATGAACTAGAAGTAGAAACCTAGAACAAATACTAGTTGGTTGTACTCTCTAGAAGCATACCCCAGTCTAGCCTATAACTTGTACACAGCTAACACGTATAAGTTGACAGTTATTTTGTTCTCCGTGGATCGTGGAGTGTAATTTCTGACCACGAAAATGGCATCATCTGCAGGAATCAAGACTCGCCGAACTCGAAACTCCAGGGCAGTACTCCTCGGAACTCCTCCGTGCCTGAGCCCCACGTTTGCTGTCGTGCGATCCTTGGTCGTGTCTAAATCTCCAACGCAACGTTGCTGAACAGTATCTGAAGTCCCGTCTTCACCTGCGTGTCGCCTGCCGGAAACGCAGAGCCCTTTGACGTCAGCTACACTTCACTACTCAGCCACGTCTGCTACACGCGCTCCTGACGAAATCCTCTTCGCTTAGGCATATTCGCGAGCTTGTAGTCTCGTGACGAGCTCCTCGTTCCATTCGGACACCTATCTGAATCGTCGTTGCTGCTTGCCGAAAATTCCGAAACTGCAATCGAAACTTATTTAACGATATGCGAAATGAACAGCATACCGGAAACACTCTTCGAAAATTTCGCCATGTTAGGACGGACACAACCGCCCTTGGGGGGATGGCTGAGCAAATCCTGATCGTCCCTTGGGGCCGGATCGATGTGTTAACGTAGAAACGAATGATTACTAGAGGTGGAAACCTAGAACAAATACTAGTTGGTTGTACTCACTAGAAGCATACCTCAGTCTAGCCTATAACTTCTACATAGATAATATGTATAAGTTGACACGATGGTCTTCAGAAGCCCACGCAAGCGCAGTGGTTGAAGCATGTCATATCATGCTTCAGGACAACCGCTGTGCCTTATGTAGCGCCATCCGCCTTCTCCCCCTCCCCAAAAAAAATCTGCCCTTGGAAGCTCAGCGGGTGAGGAAAGTGGCTCTGAATACCAAGTGTTATGAATGGGACTGCCGAGTAGGGCGGAGGGAAATGGCGAAAGTGTGAACGAGTGAATGACAATAAAATGAAAGACAATACAATATATAGGAAACCTAGAGTGATCCTTAACGTAGGATCGGAAGGTTCGGGAAAAGTGTCGAAAGGGCCTCGATGTGTCGAAGAGAGGTCTGGAAAGGCCCAGGAGGCTCGAACTGAAAGGTCTGGAACCTTTTCGCTGGTTCGGGACTGTAGCAAGCCTCAGTAAGGAATTTCTAATTCCGTACATTTATCATGGGAATACGGTAACACGTTACCTCTAATTGCACTCAAACGTTTCGTCCACCTGGATCGTGTATCCATGTTCTCCTTGGTCGGCGAATGCTGCGCCACTTGAGGGCTTGATGGTTCTCGCTCTTCGCTGCACTTGCTAACCAGCACAGCTCGACGTTCTGACATCTCGCTCAGGGGTGAGCTGGTCGTGCACGTGAGTTCGTCAAAGTTGGAGCGATTCGCTCCAGCTCTTTCACGAAACGTCAATGTTACAAGCTCGGCAGCACATGAGGGGGCCTGGAAATGCGATTCGACTGGAAGGTCGACTCAAGACCGATTTCGAAGCGCATTGGGCAACACACGGAGAGAAGGCACAACCTGCCCGCCACTATTTGATATTCTGCTGTTTGTTTGTTGGGGGTGGGTGGCCTGACATTTAATCTCGACTTGTCACGACGACGCATAAGTTGGCGTTTAGGAACTTACTGCTGGCGAGTAGTACTGGTCATTGTGCTGCTGTCATCGCTGACAGTCTGGACCATGGGAACCCACGGCAACCGCAGTAGCCTCCTTCGCGCCATACTCTCCTCTCTCCTCCTCGTCTCCTCCTCATTCCTCGTGTGCGCTCAGGACAAGCTAAACCCGCCGTTCGTTAAGGCGCCCATAACGGACACGCAATGGCACAAGGGCAGCGCGACATTCTACGGAAACGAGATGCTGCAGGGCAACTCGGGCAACTGCGGCTTCCCGTACCGCTTCGTCGACAACGTCACGCAGGTCGCCGTGCCCGACCCGCGCTGGTCGCAGTCGCTCACTAAGGGCGTCGAGGGCTTTAAGGGTGCGGCGTGCGGGCAGTGCTACGAGGTGAAGTGTCTGCGCACGGCGCGGTACGGCAACAAGGTGCACTGCACGTCGGACAAGGCGACGCGCGTGGTGATCACCAACTTCGACACGCCGCGGTCCGAGGGGTGGCCCAACAACCACTTCGACTTCCACAGCACGGGTTTCAAGCGCATCGCCGCGCTCGAGGCGGGCATCGTGAACGTGCAGTGGCGCCGCGTGCCGTGCCCCGGCAGCACGGCCAAGTTCACAGTGAAGGGCAACCCGTACTGGCATGACATCACCGTGTACGACGTGCCGCGCGTCGGCGCCATCACGGCCGTGTGGGTGCAGGTGGCGGGCAGCGGCGAGTGGAAGAAGGCGCGGCACAGCTGGGGCGCGCACTACTTCCTCAGCGGCAAGGTGGAGTGGGACAAGGCGGGCACGCGGGTGCGCGCGCAGATGGCGGAGACGCGCGAGTTCATCTACCCCAAGCGCGTGCAGGCCGCGTGAAGAAGGCGGGCGGTGCGCGGTGCTGCGCTGCGCGGCGGACGATTGGGCAAGTGAATAACGGGGTCGGCTCCGTGGCCTCGGTGAGACTCACGCTGCAGGCACGCTGAGGCCTCGACACGGGAGGAACACCCTTGGACCGCAGTAGTACGCTGGTGGAGAGTGGCGAAGCTCAGTGCGTGGTGGAGGAAAGTCTTAGACATACTGTGACCGTTGCCGTGGGCTGTAGCTGTTCACTAATAGACTAACAGGATTTGGGAATTGTGTAACCTGTCGCGGGTTTGTGGATCATGGCGTTCTTGGCCGCATGGCTGGTACGTTCTGAGACGCTCTGCTGTCCTTGGGACAGACGGAGCGAAGTTGCTAGTCCTTATACGAATGTACTTGTATTCGTGAAATAATGTTCGCCATTTTCAGTCATTGCCTCGTGTTGCATCCCTGCCACCTCCGAGATCGTGAAGCCTGGTAATTGATGCTCCAGCATGCTGCCACGCACCTTCATTAATACCCAAAAGTCTCTACCCATGCTGATGACGCCCATGCAGCATGCCCGTGTGACTGCAGACTGTACTCACCCTCCATTTCCTCCTCCCTGCCGTGCTCGCCCAATGTGAGCTGTCGTCCAGGTTGGAGGAACAAATTTTCACTTTGTACCAGGCCCCCAAATTGGTTTTGGGTCTGTCAGATTCGTCAGAGTCCACTGCCTTCCCTTGGTATGGGTGTCAGAGTTGCCTCCTTGAAAAAGTCTGAAAAATCAGAGTAGCCTTCAATTTTTTGTCTGACCAATCAGAGTCATAGCCAAACTTTTGTATGAGCCTTTTTTATGGTTCTTCATAAGAGAATGCACATTATTTCACTACATACACGAAATCAATCGATATCCTGCATATCCTAGTGAGGCGATGCCGGCATATCATCATCTACTTTCTCCTTTCCCTTCCTGCTGCTACAAGCCTCGGGGAGGGCATTGCTAAGGGGCTTCCTCTTCTTATAAGCCCGCCAGATGGTGACCACCTCTTGCCAGTCGGGGTCATACTCTAGCTGTGACATGCACATCAGATCTCCTAGCCTAGTATCCTTGAGAGCCCCCCGCAGCCAACTCTTGATGACGTTCTGGCGAGAGAACCCGCGCTCGCACTCGACAGTGCTCAACGGAAGGACAGCCACCGCCACCCACAAGTTGACCAGGTTGGGGTAGCTGTCCCTCCAGTCCTGCGTCTTTAGCATGGCGCTCAGCCCCGCGTGGAATGACCTGTCCGCCTTGGGAAGCGCAGCAAGGACGGGAACGAAGCTGCGGAGCTCGCTCTGGGCTTTGCGCTTGTCTATACCTGATCAGACAAGGGTACACAACACAAGGAAACGGAGAAGGGTTGGGTTATCTGAATCACTACACAGGGTTTACGAAAAGACATGTGTCTTGTTTCATATACATTGCGAGAGGGATACTGAAAGGAGTAAACAAATTTACCTGGCAGAATTTCGTCCCTGTCTTCAGCGCGGTAGATGACCACGAGCGAATTGAACCACTCGAGGCACTGCGTCCTCCGTGCGTGTCAGTCCCAGTTGGGCGGCCATGTGTCGACGCTGAACAGGCGCGCTCCCGACAGCTGCCGCAGATCGCCTAGGCGCTCGTCGAGGTTGCGGACCAGGCCCTCCGCTAGAGCCATGCACACCACGACACTCCCATCGTGGTCGCTGGGCCCCGGGTAGTCCTCTTGGGGCTCTTCGTGCAGCTCGAAGGTGAACCGTGAAGGTCGGCCATCGGAGTCAATCCCCTCCACTGTCACTAGCTTGGACTTGCCGGGCCCGTGCTTGGCGAGGAACCGCGTCAATCGATCGTTGGGCCCGTTGGTGAAGTCGTCTCCGCAGTCCACGTAGCGGCTCTTTAGCAGCGAGGTCATGCGGATGATCTGCGCGTGCACCGTTGTGTAGTCCAGCTGGTGGGTAGGGGGGCGAGGAAAGCTAGGGCATCACAGAGGGATGTGTGGTTAAGGGACGAGCGGCAGAGACGAGCAATATCGACATGCATGCAAACACAAGCATTAAACATATTTACCTCCCGCTGCTGAAAGACCTTGTTGAGCACGTTCAGCAGCTCGAGCACGTCGGCGAGGAACATCAGGAGGAGCCAGAAGCGGTAACTGGTGACGAGCGCGTACAGCTTGGCGTCGTACTCCTGCAGCATGACCACGATGGCTGGTAGGACCTCGACCATGCGGATGACAGCATCTCCGCGCGACAGCCAGCGGATGTTGTGGATGCCCTGGAGCTCGAGGTTCGTCGACATGAACACCTCCTGGAGCTCCAAGAACCGTTGATGCCAAGGGTTGGAGCGACCGAGCAGCTCAGCGATCTCGCGAATGATGTTGTCTACCATGCTGAAGACAGGGATCTCCTCAGCAGCAGCCTTTGCCGCCAGCGCCTCTCTGCGTGGGATAAGGGGATGAGATGCAAAGTAGGAAGCAAATTAGCGATTGGAATTATAAACAAAACAAGCAAATAAACATGACATGCACACAGCAAATGGTTGACGAACCGATGGGCAATGCAATGGCAAGAGACAAGGTGCAGAACGCGAAGACGAAGGCGGGCCACAAGTCCAGAGCGCGCTCCCATCATGACGGCAGCGCCGTCAGTGCTAATGCCAGAGATGCGGCCGAGGTCAACGCCAATCGCCTGCAGATGGGACAACAAGAGGGCGAGTAGCGATGCCGCATCCGCCTTCTCCACCGTCAACAGAGCCAGGTACTCGGTTACAAGCCGCCCTTCCTGGATGAACGCGGCAAACACGATCATGTGCTTGCCACGGCAGCGATCGGTGCTTTTGTCGAGGCTCAGGCCAATGTAGGGACTCGCCAGCAGGTGTTGGAGTTGAGTCGTCTGCAGCCACGTGGCCATCGCTTGTGTCAGTTCGCCGAAGCCGTACCTGTTACATGACACGCATAGTGCAAGTTGTTGTAAGTTTCATATCTAAAGACGAAACATAGCGAAGTTCATAGTCAGTGGAGTTCTCACCAGTTATAGTACGTGCCGTAGGCAGACTTCGGGAAGCCCTTGAAATTGCGTGATGAGAGGTATCGCACCAAATGAATCCAAGTTTCCATGGGTTCGTTACACTTGGCGTAGAAGTAGAGGGAGTCGAGCAGCGCGATGACTCGCTCCTTCTCTTCGTCGGCCGCGCGGGGATGCAGGTCGATCCGCTGCTGGTTAGACGCCTGTTGCAAGAGATTGTCCTGCTTGGACATGGCGAGGCGATGCTTCTGCGTTCCGGCGTGCTTCTTGAACGACTGGGTCTGCACGTCCTTTGCTCCCTTGCCCGATTTGCCGGTACGCCCTGCAGGTCCTGCATGCACTGCGCATACACTACACTTGAAGGCCGGGAGCCCATCATCAGTTTTCAAAAGCATGAGCCAAGGGAATCTGTCAGACCAGCGAGATTTGAAACGCTCTTGTGCCTCAGCATAGATGTCCTCGTTCGTTCTAGCAGTGTACCTCCCGCCAGACAATTCAGGCAAGTCCGCATGTACAAAGGGGCTCGGCACAGGCTCAAGCGGATCCTGGCATGTCGACGTTGAGGCGTACGGCAGAATCACCTGCCTATACCGGAACCTCTTCGCCGCCGTCACCGACGGCGTGGTGCCGGCGACAGGAGCTGAAGCAGTGGGCAGGGGGCTTGCATCCGCAGACTTCTTGCCCGCTGCATCGGGAACAGGTGCATCGCCATCAGCAGGGGCAGCGTCACCAGGCTTCCTCTGAGGGCTACGATATGAAGCATCCGACTGCCGCAGGAACTTTAGTGCGGCCGGACCATCGCGGAAATTCTCGGCACACCAGTACTCTTCGTCTTGTTCGTCATAATCTGCCTCGTCTACGTCCTCATCGAGGTCGACCTGCTCCATGGCCTGCAGGGGCGCGGTGGGAAAACAAACGCACTGAAAGAAAACCGAGGGGCTACACGGAGCTTGGCTGAAGTTTTGCTGGAGGGGGGAGAAGCAGGGTCGTTTTCCCCGTCAGTAAAGAACTGATGGAGAAGGAGGGGGTCTGCCAGCTGCAACTCCATCGCAGCGCGCGAGATGCTGTCCATGCATGAATGAACCAGGCACTCGTCGCGTCAGCATGGGTGCGGTGCCTCGTCTACTGTGCCTCACCCAACAAAATGCCTTAGGATTGGCGAAAACAACCGTGTTTTGATCAAGGACCAATCGGCTGCTCGGGCTATCTCTGTGCTGGCGCCATCACACAAAATTTGCCCGCCCGACGGCGCGGGCCGCGCCAGCGCAAATGTAATTCTGGCGTGATTGACAGTGACGACAGAGGTACCAATGCAAATCTCGCAACCCCCCCTAAAATGACGGTATTACAGGAATCAGAGTCCCCCCCCCCATACAAGGATGAAGCATCAAAGTACACTTGTCAAAGAAGTCTGAAAAATCAGTGTAGGTACATAAAACTTCTCTAAAAAATCAGAGTAACATAGAAAAAAAAGACTTTGGAATCAGAGTACACCCCCAAAAAAACTCTGAAAAAAGTCTGAATCAGAGTAAAAAGTCTGCAATTTGGGGGCTTGCTTCGTACTTGAAGACCAGTGTAGAGGTCATCTAATACTAAGAAAGCACGAAGAGTTTGTCTGTGCTAAGCGCGCCGAGCGAGGAAAACAAGAGGCGACGAGGTCGTCTTAGGGTTGCGGAGCAGTAGAATATAACATTTTAAGATAGTATTTTGCTTCAATTGTTTGTTTTTGTAAGAAGAAATGTTCATACATTCTGGGTGGTAGTGAGTGCATGTGCAAGAACATATTCCCTGCAAGAGATTTTAGGACTTTCAGTCCCTTGCCATAAAAACACGGACCTGGCGTGATTTGGTCTGATGACCTTCAATCATTTGCCGAATATCAAACAATTGCGCTAACCTAACCCGAATGTATCGGGTAGGACACAATTTGGTGTTTTGTTTTTGCGATGAATCTTGCATGTCTCTTCTTCCCGTAGGGTTTCATTCACCTGTTTCTAGCGTGTCTCTTCACCTTGCGCTCTCTGTTTCCTACATAAGCTCTGACGTTCCTAACAAAATCGAGCTTCCTTAGACTAGTTTCTTCTGTTAGAAGGCTAGCTTAGCTAGGAAGCTAGGAAAGGCATGAGGTTTAGCCATGGAGTGGCGTGAGGTTTAGGAAGGAGAAAAGTTGAGGAGAGAAAAGAGTGTTGGAATAGAAAGAGAGAGGCATACAAGGAGGGGATTGTACCCTCTACAGTAAAGTTTGGTAACCTACCAAGCCTAACAATTATATAACTCAATATATAATTTAACACACCCCCTAGGCTTGGTAGTCACAAGCCCACACACACCCCCACACCCCCTAACCTAGCACCCCCATTCCAGCCACAGTGACAGCGACACTAGCTCGGTCGAC